TTTGCTAAATAAATACATTCCCTAACCCCAGCCCAGCCCAAGGTGTCTGAGGACATCAGGCTGTCTCTGAGTCTGAACAAATGGATACTGGACATTCAGCACATGGACACAATGTAAACGGGAAGGAAATTCCACATGGAGAATCCGGAAATACCGGCATAAACACACACCCACATTCCTAGGAATCATTGATTTAATTACAGGGAATTAAGTGAAATGTCATTTTGTCATTTTGTCGTTCATTACTGTGACTTCCAGTAAAAATTTAATGCGCCATCAAGCACTTGGAGCATTGCACACAGAACTGTCCTTCCGGGAGTCACTGGGCCATATTCTCGCCTCTGGGAGAGGGGTGCCATATCTCTGTGGGGTCCATGTCACCCCTAAACAGATGGTCAGCTGTCCATGCAATGGGGTTTGAGATGTGTAATGTAAAAGACCACCCGACCTCAACTGACCCAATCAGTCATGTGGAGGTGTCCTTCTGGCCAGCAAGCAACATGCATAAAAAGCTCACTATGGCAGAAATGGTGTTCCTCAGAATGCTACTGAAGTGAGCTCTTGGGATTAGGGGTTAGGGCAAATCCACCAAGACCTTCACTGAATTTCAGCAGATGTTTGCGAAACCGAATGGACACCTATGTTTCTGTTGTCCCAAGTGGTCCAGGCAAGTGTGGGGCACATGCTAAGCTATGAGATCCAACAAGGAGCAGAAGAGCCTCAACCCCCTGCCTCCTCATGACCCTCAGAGCTTCCTCCCAATAACTATGGAGCTGGAAGCAGTACCTCAGGGCTTCTTCCTCTCTGCACGGAGTGCTCTTCTTCCACAAGGAATACCACAGGGATGTCTGGCCAGCTCCTGAGCCGACAGCCCTCTTTCTCTGGAAACTGTCCTCCTCCCACGCACAAAGTGGGCCCCGGGATGTCACACACTGTGTGCCCCGGACCCCTGGGCAGGGATGAAGCGGGATTCAAATAGGACAGGCTTTCTCCCAAGATTGTAAAACTGGGAGCCTAGAGAGATGTTGCGGGATGACCACCTTCCACCATCTTGGGGGCCCCAGAGCAGAGGGAAAGGGAAAGAAAAGAAAGCAGATGTAGAGGGGAACAGGTAAGAAAACGAACAATGCGGCCGGGGATTCGGCTCAGTGGTTCTGCAGCCTGCCTCGCAAGCCCAAGGACCTGAGTTCGATCCCCGGTATAAAAAAAAATTAATAATGAAAGAAAAGGAACAATGTCTTAGAGAAAGAATGCTGGTCCCAGGCCCCTTGGGGCTTAGCCACTTCTTGCTTGAGACCCTCTTTGTCCTGATGATAAATTTCCTTTTCTTAATTGAAATGAAAAAAGAAGTTAGGGCTTGAATGCTATTAGCATATATATATTTGTTTGTTTGTTTTGTTTTTGGTACCGGGGATCGAACTCAGATCCTTGCGCTTGCAAGGCAGGTGGAGGAACCACTGAGCTAAAACCCCAGCCTGCTATTAACTTCTTAAAGATAGCCTGTATCTCAGTCCAACCTGCCATACAGCCTCTCTCTCCTTTCTGGTCTGAAATACCTCTCCTCCATGTTACTTCACTGAGACATTTAATAAAGGCAGAGGCATTTTCTACATGAAGCCAATTAAATGTGTGTGTGTGTGTGTGTGTGTGTGTGTGTGTGTGTTAGTGATATAGGAGGAAGAGGGGCAACCCTCCAACCTACTAGGAATCCGAAACTCGAATTTGTGTTCTCTAAAATTGAAGAATGAATTCGAGGAACAATGGAAGTTAAGAGTAGCAAACATTTATTTTATTTTTTGATTTTTTTGAGACAGGGTCTCACTATGTAGTTGAGACTGACCTGGAACTCACTGTGTAGCCCAGGCTGGTCTCGAACTCACAGCGATCCTCCTGCCTCAGCCTCCTGAGTGCTGGGATTACAGGCATGCGCTACCACGCCCGGCAGTAGCAAACATTTATTGAGAGAAAGAAAGCTTCTGTCTAAGAGAGACAGAAGGGGGACCGGAAAGTGGGTTATACACTCACTCCACTTCTCAAAGATGTTTTACACAGCCAAGCCATGTGGTGAGGAGGGTACAAAATGGGACAAAACTATAAGACCCAATAGAAAATTACAAGGTGGGCGTGAGGTGGGGCAAAACCATGACCAACCAATAAGATTACAAGTCCAGCCACCCAGGTAATACTGATTAAATGGGGGTCAAGTGGGGGAGCAAGTGACATACAAGAGATTTTCCAGTGAGAATATAAATCCCTGCTCTCTATCTCCAGGGGAAGTAGTGGCTTGTCCTTTTTATAATACTAACCACTGAAAGTGCCTTAACTGTTCTTCACGTTGGCTCCTTGCTGTGTTGGCTCCTGGATGGAGGGCTGGCACTTTGAGAACTGGGGCCTTGAGGGCTGGTGCCCTGAGGGAGGCCCTGTCTAACTGCCTAAAAGACATCTAATTAACTTACCTATCTATGATATTAGGACCCCTGAAAGGTAAGAAGAACATCACCGCTAGCACTTTGCTCACCGCCTTAAGGGAATTTAGGCCTTGGTCCGGTTTCAAGTTCCAAACAGAGAGTGCCCCTTGTGGAAGATCAGGACAATATGTTTCTTCCAGACTGAGGAAGGCTGTCCACAACTCAGGAGGGAAGCCCTGGAGGAGGAAAGGTTGCCATAGTCATCTGCCTACTTTGCACACTGTCTGGCAGCAGTCCTGTAGTTCTCCAGTAATGCAAGATCTCCTTTGTCCTCTGCCTCTAATAACAATTGCCATGAATTTCACAGGCCCAAAGTCAAAATGTGTATTCCTGGTATCTCCACAGCACACTGCACAGAACAGATACGCTCAGTAAACATTTGTTGAATGAGATGTTCATTTGTCTGTCCTAAGTAAATAGTTCCAATTCTATTTGCTTTTGTTTAAACACATTTCCTCTCGGGCTCCGAAGACCTTTTGAAAGCTCTGGCACGGTATGATGTGGTACTGTGGTAGTATGGGCTTAACAGGATGATTTCCACCTCTTTGGACTTTATTAAAGAGATGACATTTCCGGGAACAAGCACAAACTTAAAATGTTATAAACCTGATGTCTGTGTGGTTTTAGCATCAACAGTATTGCCAGAAATAGATCCTGGGTCATGCTACCTACCACGGCATCTCTTCCTGTTTCACCTCTCCCGGGCTTCTCCAGATGACAGCTTGATATTTACTTGTGCGGTTCCTGTCATCCCCTTGGGACCTTGGGCTCCACAGGGGGTGGGGGTTGTCATCTGGTTGAGCTCCATGGTACCTCCATTCAGGAACATTTTTATTTGCAAACAATTTGGTTCCCATACAGGGGCCTTTGGCAAAATTTTTGGTTTTTTTGTTTGTGAACTCTGTGGTGGATGACTGAATGCACACACGGTGCTGTTTTCCAGAATCGTGGAACAAATTAAGTTCGTGAACCCAGGCACCCCTGTACTCTGTAGTCTCACACACGGTTCTCAGGACATATTCACCGAATCTGAGAATGAACGGTAACTGCTGAAGTGGGCGGTGGGTGGAAGTCAAAGCAACAGAGAGAGGAGCCGGAGAGCAGGTGAGCAGACCCTGCTGTGCAGGATCCACTGGGAATGACTACGAGCCCAAGGCTCAGAGGCGTCACTCAGAATCAAGAGGCAGCAGCCCGTCCTGTAGCTAAGAAACCAAGTCAGGGAGGTTGAGTTCTCTCAGTCACATGAGCTAGTGCATGGAAGAACTCGGACTCTCACTCAGGTCTGCCCGGCTGCCGCGTTTGAGCCCTTTCTTCCTTGGTAAGTCAGTTTCACGTGGCTTCGACGCAGCAGAAGGGGCCAGATGTGGTGGTGCACACCCATCATCCCCGTACTCTGGGAGGCTGAGGCAAGAGGATCGAAACTCAAGCCCAGCCTGGACAGTGTAGCAACTTAGCGAGACCCTGTCTCAAAACAAAAAAAATGAAAAGGGCCGATACTGATGGAGATAAATGTGTGATCCTCTGTACCACAAAAAAATGTAAAGAACGGCACAAGTGGACAGAGGAGACTTGGGACACACGCAACAAGAGGATCAGGGAGCCCAGGACACCAGGGGCAGAGCAGAAGAGAAAGAGAGGAAGGCACAGAAATCACCTGGGTAACAGCCAGGATCACAGAGAGGAATGTTCTTTTTTTTGGTGGTGGTACTGGGGATCGAACTCAGGACCTTGCACTTGCAAAGCAGGTGACAGTGCCACTGAGCTAAATCCCCGGCCAGAGAGGAACGTTCTTTTTTCCCTTGGCTCTTGGGAATCCTTACAAAACCCCATGTAGCATGGGGACCCGGCCAGGAAGCACAGTCCAAGAGGCGTGGACAACACCTCCCACTAAAGTCTCTAAAGAAGCCATGCCTGACAGCCTCACACAAAAGTCAGAAGGAGAAACAATCCCTGGAGCCAGAACCCTTGCGGACCAGAACTGGACCAGACCCCCCACCCGCAAGTCCATCTTCCACCACTGCTGCTAGACAAAGCCTTCTAGAAAGGAAATCAGATCGTGCCTCACCCACTGCCTTCCTTCAGCACCCTCCCCCACTCCCGTTTGAAATTCTGCACCAGCTCCCCCACAAAACAGACAAATGATCAATGAACAGATGAACGCCTGAGCAGACGCACAGTGCAATCTCCGGACCTGTACCTGCGCCACACTAGGTCCCCAACGTACCTCTCCCGCTCCGTTCCTCCAGCCGTGTGCGTGTTGGCTCCCTAGGGTTTTTTGACAAATATGCTTTGATGGGGGTTGCATTTCAGCTTTGTTCTCAGCCTCCAGGTCCAGCGCCCCAAATTCCTGCTGTTGCCCAGGTCTCTGCACCACATGGAGGTAACTTTCCAGATGCAGCAAGTGCTAAAGGGCGCAGGGTAATTTCCGTGGAAACTACTTTGAGGTCCACCTGAGGCCCGAGAACGAATACTAGTTACACTGTTTCTACAATCTCCAGTCTTTATCAAAAATTCTCTCTGTCCCTAGGCATCAATATACACAGAACAATGTAAAGAGGGCCGAGGACTCGCCACAAAACTCTATGTCCCCAGCTCCCAGCGTGCAACAGAGGACAAGTGTCCGTGCTGAGCCAGGGCAGGAGGAGAGTAACCCGGACACAGCCCCCTCGGCCAGAGGGGACAGGAGAGAAGCTGCCCGGACACCACAGCAGGAGAACAGAGCCATGCTCCGTGCCCCTGGGGCAGTGGCACTGAAGGGATGGGGAGAAGAGAAAACCCAGGTGGACGTGCTGCCACCAAGAGGTCAGCACAAGGAGATAGCCTCTGTCGGGACAAAGGCAACAACGTTTCAGAGTCAGGACACGGTGCCAAGAGGCACGGGGGACCAGAGGGGAGGCTGACAACTGCAGGGGTAGTGTTAAAAAGGTGCCAGGGCAAAGCACTGCCCTCAGTAGTGACAACTACATTCACCTCAGTAGTGACAACAAGGACAACAAAGAAAGCCGTGACCACAGCCGCTGTCCCAGCCAAGGACAAGGCAGCCCTGGCCACCGCTGCACCTTCCCCAAGGCCCACCACACGAAGAAGCCAAAGACTGAAGGCCGCCAACTTCAAGTCTGAGCCCCGCTGGGATTTTGAGGAAAAGTATAGCTTTGACGTGGGGGGTCTGCAGACGGTGAGTCTGTGCCACCCTCTCTTCCCTCCCTTCCTGCACCTCTGGAGAGGTGGCCGCCCCTTCCTCCCTCTCCTGCAGGCCACTCTTTCCCTGTCTTTCCTTGCTGTGTGGCCCAGGGGCAGCACGGGACCTTGTGAGTGACAAGGGCCTCCCTGGAGCTCACCGATCCGAGGTGGAGGGTGTGTGCCCAGTGCTGGGGCCTGACACATGGATCCTCAGGCTCTGGCAGGGAAGAGGACAGGGACTAACCGATGCGAAGGTCCAACCTCATACCCAGCCCCGACCTCCAGAAAAGACTTGCTTTCCCTGCAAAGCCAACCCTAAAACCCTCGCTGTCTTCCAGCCCTGAATAACTCCTAGGCCTAGCCACCCGCACCCGTAGTCTTCCTCACACACACCCTTGCGTTGCAAACACAGAGAACCATGGCACCAACAGCCAAGGGGCACGTGCGCCAGGGGCTGAGGCAGCCATTCCTCCGGGCCTGTCCCGCCTCACTCTGCCCTCCTAAACGTAGAGGTGCCCTGACTCAGTGAAGATCAGAGCCTCCAAGTCGCCGTGGCTCCAGAATCTCTTTCTGCCCAACATCACTCTCTTCCTGGACTCCGGACGCTTCAACCAGAGCGAGTGGGAGCGCCTGCAACACTTCGCGCCTCCCTTCGGCTTCATGGAGCTCAATCACTCCTGTGAGTCCCACCCCGGCGCAGCTGCGGGCACCAGGCCCGGGCAGACTTCCCGTCTCCCACCTGCCTCTTTCCTGGGGGCCTCGGGCCTAGGGGAAATGATGGGATGGGCCGAGGATGTAGCTCAGTGGTGCCGCCGCCTGCCTCGCAAGCCCAAGGCGCAGAGTTCGATCCCCGGTACCAAAAAAAGAAAAAAAGAAAAGAGATGGGTGGACGCCTGTCCCCTCCTTGTTGCAGTGGTGCGGAAGGTCGTGGCCCGCTTCCCGCCGGTGCCCCAGCAGCAGCTGCTCCTGGCCAGCCTGCCCCCGGGGAGCTCACAATGCGTCACTTGTGCCGTGGTGGGCAACGGCGGCATCCTGAACGACTCCCACGTGGGCCGGGACATCGACAGCCACGACTACGTGTTCCGGTAAGCGGGGCCCCTCTGCGCCAGGTAGGGGTCTCCAGGGAGTCCCGATTTATGCGGAAGGCGGCCCTCCTGGGCTCTCCAGAGAATTGCTTCTGCTCCGCCCGCTTCTCCCTCTCCCCACCCGCATGTCGGGACGTGTGTCTCTGCACAGACTGAGCGGAGCGCTTACTCAAGGCTATGAACAGGACGTGGGTACGCGGACGTCGTTCTACGGCTTCACGGCCTTCTCCCTGACCCAGTCACTTCTCGGGCTGGCCGGTCGGGGTTTCCGGAACGTGCCGGTGGGGAAGGTGAGCGAGGCGGGCCTGACTCCGAGCGAGAGCCTGCGGGCGAGATGGGGCTGGGCACCTGGGCCTGGGTGGAGCCGGCGGT